TTCTGAGAAGACAATCTACATGCTGCCAGATGTGTTTCTCCACAACTGGGTGGATACAACCCTGTGGCTCTCGAAGTAGCGACAGAGTCTGGCGCAGACCCTCAGCGGGCCAAATTGGCCAGTGGATATGAGGAACTGTCAAACCGGAAAAGGGGCCAGGACGGAAGATCTGGAGGCGCTCACGGGGGCACGCAAATTCTGGATGCTCATGGCCTTGGTTGTCAACCCGTGAGGACCATACGCTGCTCCCCTTTCTGACAGACAGAGTTTCCGTCTGTTCTGGGTGGATACCTCGGCACAAAAGGTTTGTATAGCTGCGAAGTACACGAGCGGGTGTACACGTTTGCCAACCCGATGCTCTGCACTATACCGCTCTGTCGAGATGCTGGTTTGGCTCTGCCAATGAGACTGAAAGTCTGACTGAAATGTGGTCGTGTCGGTGACGTCTGCTGCTGTAAGCACATCGCCAGTGAGAGAGAGGGGCAACTTGTATATATGTGTACGAAGCATGCCTGCATGCCTGCATGTTGAACTAGGAGCACTTTGGGCTTAATACACATGCACTTGCTACTACACTGTGTGGACAAGCTTTTGGCCATGCCGCACTTGTTCTGGCCCCTCAATTTGCACACTGTAGAACTTCAGACCTTGATATGTGTTTGCATGTACTGGATTTCAAGAAGGGTCCTTGTCCTCGTGGCCTTACCTTCTGTTGTCGCTGTTTTTCGCATCTGGACCCTTTCCGGAATTGTGTTGCCAATACACCACAAACAAACAAACACTTGTGCTGCTTAGTCTCACTGCCTGGGTTTTGGGGTTAGGTTTGATGATGCCGGTCGCGAGAGGCAGATAGCAGCCCTTGTGGAGTGTGGCGTGTATAGCTGTCCTGTTTGCCATGGCTCAGGCCCAGCGGTAGTAGTGGCGCTAGCTTCTTGTTTGGTGTTTTCTGGGGCCTGAGTTATGATGTTAACGAGTTGCCGGAATTCGCAGAATGCATGTCCAGTCGTCGATGCTCTCATAGCGCCCCGCGGAGCTGGCATTGCCGTGCTAGGTGGGTGACAAAAACTACTACTACTACTACTACTACTACTACTACTACTACTACTGCTACTACTGCTGCTACTACTGCTATTACTGCGACCAAGAGTGCGACTACGACTGGGACGACGACGACGACGACAGCAACTTCCAAGGCTACTCCTGCTGCTGCTACTACCACTACTAGTCCTCCTACTGCTTCCAGCTGCTGCCATTGCCACCACTGCTACTACTGCTGCTGCTACTACTACTGCTACTACTACTACGACGACGACTACTACTACTACTACTACTATTACTACTATTACTGCTACTACTACTACTACTACTACTACTACTACTACTACTACTACTACTACTACTACGGCTATTGCTAATGCTACGGGTACGGCTACGGCTACTACTGCTGCTGCTGCCGCTGCTGGTACGACGACTAGTACTACTGCTACTGCTACTGCTACTGCTACTGCTACTGCTACTGCCACTGCTACTTGGCCAAGAATCCCTCCGAGACCGAAAAAGCCAAGAAACTCAACTGGCTGGACGATCGCGGAAATTGGAGAATTCTCAAATGGGATCCGGTCAAAATGGAACTACAAGTGGACGAGAATCAGCCGGCGGCGAGCACGGACGACCTCCTCAAGCAGACCGTGGAGATGCGGAAGGGTGTGAGCGAGGAAGCCTTGCATCGCTTTCGAAGCTACAAACGAATGACGGACCAACCCACGTCCGAATGGATCCAGTTCCGCATGGAGATCTCGTTGAGGCCACTGGGCGACCCTGTATAGTCCACCCTCCAGAAGTGGATCGGCCAATCGGCGTGGCACCTGCTAGGATGCAGGCTGCGGAAGGAGCGACCACAATTCAATACTCTGGTGGATCAAGTACGCCAGGGCCTTTGATGCAGGGCCGCGACCTCAGTCTTAGCCGGGTCCTGCAACTACACTTTCACAACCCCAACAACCATTGCTACATGCACACTTCCATTTACACTCTCCTTTGGACAATTTTGCAGCTTCGCAGACACGGCAACCACAGTCCAGCACTCCACAAGTGCTTTGATACCCTCGTTTCAGACTCCATGCGGACCACCACACCCATTCAGGTAGCTCGCCTTCTACCTTGGCGGATGTTGCTTGGGCAATGGCCACAGTTGAATCAGCAGCATGACATTTGCGAATTCCTCGGCTATATTCTACCCAGGTGCCTTAGTTGGCCTGCTGGTTATGAGGCTCCAAGCTGGGAGGCCCGGCGCTTCCGAGATGGCCATCTCAACGTGCTAGATCGGGGACCTGCCTACCTTCCCATCCCCATCCCTCTTTGCACAGGTGAAACATGTCATCTGCAATGGTGCGTGGATGCATGGCACAGGCAACCCTGCATTCATGCCCTCACTGCCGCTGCCCCCTTCCTGTGTCTGCAGTTGCTGAGATTTCACAATGAGGAGGGGAGAATGCAACGTGACCTACGACCTCTGAAAGGCCACATGTCCAGTGTGCATATGCCTGTCTTCCGTGCAGACAATGCTGAGCTTCGCAATGACCTGATTTGCACTCATGCACCGTACCAGGTCGTAGCAATGGCCTTGCATTACGGGGAAGCACCAACTGAGGGGCACTATCGAGCTGTGCTGAATGGCCAGCCTTTCTATGGCGCGGATAAAAGCTGGCACACAGATGATGGCAGAGTCGCACGCAGCTGCACGTCAGACGATCACACCATGCATCGTACAGCCACTGATGTGATCTGGCTTCGTTATGAGCCAGGCTTGAACTCCGACTGACGATGATGAAGATACTCCTGAGTGAATGGTCTGGTAGTGCGACGCAGGTCACCTGACCCGTCGCAGATCCCACCTGAGGATCCGTCGCATCAAAGATGTGACGCTAGCTCGCTAAGCAGACTCGGACGTCATGCAGCGTTGGGAATGAAAATGCCACTGCTACTGCTACTGCTACTGCTACTGCTACTGCTACCGCTACCGCTACTGCTACTGCTACTGCTACTGCTACTGCTGCTTCTAAGGCGCCGCCACCACTACTACCACCGCGACCGCCATTGATTGTCACTAACACGCCGCCGATTGCATTCAAGTTAGTAGATTCTTTTGAGCTTGAGTCCTCGGTCCCATACTGCAGCGATCGCGCGTCATCGGCGCATCAGCGGGCTTTTATTGCGCTGGAACCTGGAGCCTGATCGACCGGTTATGGTGCGTGGCAACACAAGTCCCTCCTCCTCCTCCTCCTCCTCCTTTGACGGCTTTGCACTTCCCGAAACTGGTACGTGTTCTAAATTCCATCTTGCATGGTGCCAATCCTCTTCATCTTCTTCCCGTCCCTCGCTTGCAGCGGAATGTCATAGTTCAGCTTACCAGGAAGGCAACAACGAGCTGCAGTGTCGCACCATGACAGTACAGTGGGTGGGGCGGGGTCATGTCCTTGATGAGTCGTCTGCGTGTGGGACGATGATGCGCATCACCCGGCCGCCTGCCGCAGCAAGTGTACGCTGCGCCGTGGGCCTCCGGTGCCTGCTCGATCTTGGTTGACTAGCAGGCTCGCTTCCTACATCGGCTCAAACCTGAACAGTGGCAGTACCTGATCACCACCACCAGCAGACGAACACGACCACGGTCACGACCAGGGCCACGGCTACTGCCGTGTTGCTACAAAACCCACTACTACTACCACGACTTATTACTCGTGCCAGGTGGGTGACAAAACGGCTTCTTACTACGTGCGACTTACTCATTTAGTACTTATCGCATACTTACCACATATACCTTACTACATGCAGTCTACGTACTACTACTTCTTGCTCCTTGCTCCCTGCGACGATGAGAAATACGACTTAGACTACGGCGCCTACGATTAGGACGACGACTAACCACCACCACTACTTCCACAAGCAGCAGCTGGCGAAAAAGTCAGTCTGCATGCCGCATGAGTGTCGATGCAAAGCGATGTGCTTGGTGGTTTGAATCGGCAGGAGATATTTCCAAAGTGGTGAGCACAAGCCCGTGAGGGACGAAGTGCATGACCTGCTGCGGATGCGCGCAAATCATACTCCTGGCCTCCAAGACGGAGGCTTGCCGCTTTTGGAGGGTTTGGCGCCAGAAAGGATCCTTTGTATCGCAGGGGCGTGCGTTTTTGTGGCATGAATGCTTCTCCGCTTTAGGAGCCGGGGGCAGTGTCCAGTTCGCATCTACAGATGCTCGGCGGCATTCTCGCCGTTCTTGCGCTTATGCTGTCCACAAGTTCTGGCCCAGGCGGTCCGCCGAGCGCATTCTGTTCCTGGCTGAGGGGGTGGTCCCGCATTGGTTTCAGTCGTTTTCTTGTAAATATTTACCGAAGACCGGTCGCAGCCAATTAGTCTCGGGAGTTTCACCCTGCGCACCTGCTGGATTTTCATGCTTCCGGGGTGCTGCCGCAACCGTTTGATAGGCTTCTACAAGCCTTAAGCATGAGCCACTTGCAGCTTGCGGAGTTGTTCCAGTTGACCTTTGACATTGCTGTCCAGGAGACTTCCCATCAAATCGGCCACGGCCAGAGCAGCTGCGTGTGCCCCACACAATGCCTGAGAATACCAGGTGGAACACTGCGCCGACGTTCTAAGGAAACTGGAGCCTGACCCATCCCCTGCCCGTGCAGGTTCTGCCGCACATACGTGTGCTTGCCTTCCATGCGTCCTTGTCATCTCTGCCAGGCTCTTCCCGGACGGAGTCGGAAGATGAATTGGAAGATGAATTGGAGGAGGTGAACAGCCTTCCCACCAGGCAGCTTTCCAGAAGGCCGCAGCCTCAAAGCCTGGTTGGGGCGGTGTGGGGCACGGTGCCAGTTGTCATGAAACGGGGAGGTTTTCATGGAGTGCCCACGCCTCAATACTGTCTCTGCCCAACATGCAGCAGTCAGAGCCGGAGTGCCAGTTGAACTGAGGAGTATCCAACCACACCACTCTTCCTGGACATGTCAGCAGACAAGCCCAAGGCCAGAGCCAGAGCCAGAGCCAGGCTCGCTAGACTCCTTTCCGCGGCTGCGTGGGGACGTGCAGGCTCCTGGAACCCAGCCGCGAATCGGAATTGACATTGGCGGTGTTGCTGCCTGAAGCGCTGAAGCGAAGCGAGAGCGAAGCGAGAGATCGGTGCAGATGCTCCTCAGGTGCTGACCCGGCAAGGCGACAGGACCTACATGGGTCCCCTTGACGAGTCGGGAACTCAGGTACTCGTACTGGGAAGGCATGATCCGCTCCGATTTTCGAGCCTTCCTACCAGGTGGGACACTACTTGGGAAGCCGACGGTGCTTTGGATGCTGCCCTTGTGCCGCAAATTCCTGCCATGGCAGACTCAGGTGATATATCTCACCCTTTGAACAGGTGGGGAAGATCGCACAGGTTTTCGGACCTTCCAATACCTTCCTTGTGAGCAAGGCGACCAAAGCAACTTGAGTTGATTGATTGTCTGTCCCACAGACGCTCCCTGATGCTCCTCACATGGAAGTTTGGCCGATGGAGGTGAGCCCGGGCAAAAGCATGCATCGCCGAATGGAGCAGTCCTTCACTGAGTGACTGCCAGCTTGGCCAGCCTGTGGACTGTGACCGGCCGGTCACCATTCGAGGTGGCTTCACGAGACCATGGACTTTTGTGAGGTGCGCCCATTTGCTGTCAGTGGCAGCTGCAGTTTTTCTGTTTAATTACCTATGCTGCTTGGTGCCGAGGTCACTGGCGTTCCCAAAGACAACATCGTTTTTGTCTCAGCCGTGTCGGGGAGCCGTCCCCAGAGTACAAGAGGCCGGCTGGGACTTGGCGGTGCAGTTCCAAGTCCTGCGTTGATTTAAGGACTCAAGGCAAAGGAGTTGTCTGCGAACGACTTGGAATCTCTCATTTTGTAGACGACAAGATCGAGGCCGCTGTCGTCCTGATGGATCCTGGCGGGCTGCACCGCATGCACAGTACCAGGTGCTCAAGTCGGTGTTTGAGGATGAGGCCAACTCCGTTTCCCTCCTCCAAACCTGAGCCGAATTGCATGTCGCAGGTCGCTCGGCCAGATGCTTTGCACATGTTGGGGCGTGGGCTCAAGCGGTGCATGCAGCTAGGCTACTCGTAGCGAGACTTGTGAATCAGCCGAAGCACAAGACACTCAAAGGCCTGCCAAGCCATCAGCAAATTTCGCTCTGCCGTGATGCAGACGAGAGGGCATGGAAGCCGACACTGGCGATGCGGGGCCCCAGCTGCAGCTGCCAATCCAAAAGGCAGGACAGGAGGCCAGGTGCCCAAAGACTGTGCATGAGGACGTGTGTATGGTCTCGGTTAGACCCTCCCGGAAGAGGATCATAACCAGAGCTCGTCCGCTTCAGCCTTGGAGATCTTGCTCGAGGAGGCAGCATCCCAGAAGCTCGTCGAGAAAGGCACAGTTTCTGGTGTACGCCATTCTTGGCCGTCTCCTTCGGGCGGGCGGGCATGTCATGTGCCTGCAGGGGAAACACGGGCTAGAATGGGCAGACCCAGTTTCGAGATGTTTCGAGAAGGTTTTTCGGAAAGGCACAGTTTGAAGCAGGCTTTTCGATGGCACCCAAACTGCCTGATTCTGAACGTGGGAAGCAAGATGTCATTTTCTCATACTTGGTTTCAGATTTCAAGGACGCGCACCGACGAGGCGGCGTTGGTTGGGCTTGTGTTGCAGGATGAGCCAGAAAGCTTCCAGGCCTCTCGACTATTTGTGACTCTGTGCTGTTGTGTGACCACCGGCCTCTGCACCTCATAAAGTTTGCGAAAGAGGGGTTGCTCATTAGTAACTTGATTTAAGGTTGTCCTGAGACCCATCACGGGATGCAAGCTGGGATTGGCAGTGCCTTGCCTTTCCATGACAATGATGATATATTTTCAAGCTACTGTCCCTCCAGTTCTCAGACGAGGTCATGGAGTTCGGTCGAAAGCTGTTGGTGGCTGTGGTCCACCCGAAAGGAGTGGTCAGCACTTGGAACGCAACTTACCCGGACTTGTCTATCGAGGCCCGGTTTGCTGGCCTTCACTGCGAGAAAGTGTTGTTGCTGAATTAACACTGAGAGAAGTGTTTCTGGTTACGTCACAGGAGCGGGACTTATTGGTTCAAGTGAACCATGCGACCGAGTACTTCGGCATGGTGCAGCAGCTGCGGTTTTCGCAGGTGCTGCTTCTAAAGCTGCAGCGCCAGGACGCCGAAGCAATCGATCAGTTTTGCAAGAGCACCAAATGGAGTGATGGGTTCTAGCTGCGAGGAATCCATCAAGCGCTTGCCTTAGTTGGTCGGTCTACGCTCGCGAAGTGTTGTCGGAGCCCGTTTCGAGAGGTCACGACCCCTCCCCGTGCGCGCAAAATGGGAGCCACGGGCGGGTACTGGCGAAAGTTCATCAGATTTGGACTCTCGCCACTGTTGAGTGTGAACCCCGCTCTGTAGGCACTGTTCTGATACCACCTGATGTCGATGCAGCTTTGTGGGGCGAAGTGAGGATTCAAACCTTGCACTTCGCGCTGTCACTGAGTCGCTAGGGCCACACAGTCCGTCCACCTGGAAGAGCGCGGCGAGCTGTATCGTTGAACACTTCCTTCATCAAGAGCATCTCTTTCTGGGATACTACGGCTACCGGATCCTCACCAACCGGACATGGGCGGATTGTCCCGTCGCCGGAAAGACTCCGATTCTCAGCCTCACCGTTATGCAGCACATCGAGCAAGCGGGTCATACTTGGTACGTAGTCTCCTGCGAGCTGGTGCTTTTCAACGCCGGCGAGAGGGATCTCTGCTCGCATTCATGTGGTGCTTGCTGGCATGCTCGATGTCCGCGCGTCCTATTCATTTGACTTCCATGCCTTTGTCATTAGCAAGTGGTGTACTGTAGTGCATGGATCAAACTTTGTTTCTGTCCATTGCAATCGTTTTCCACCGCTTTGGGCAAGGACGTTCTGAAGTGGGAGGCTCCGAGACGACTGGCGCAGTTGCGAGCAGACTTGCACGATCGGGTGAAGTTCAGCATGGAGCCGAAGGAATACAAGACGCTCTTTGAAGAGGCGCCTTTTGCACATGCTGGTGGCCACCTGCCAGAAAGCTGCACTGGGTAGATCTTTTCGTCTGTGCGCTTGAGCTTGAGTTGAACAGACTGCCTTTGCCACCGGGGTTGCCGAGGTCCGAGCGGCACAACGTCGCGTTTGTCGAACTGGCTGTCCGCATTGGCAGCATCTATCAACAAGCTCAGCGTCACTCCAGCTGTAGCTTCCTTTACCTTGACCTTCTTGCATGCTCCGCTCCTTGGCCAACTTGACCAGCCTGGCAAACACCACGTCTATGTGTTGTCTGACTGAGGCTCCCACCGCATCTTGTGCGTGATGCTCTCCAGTGAAAAGGGAGTGTAGCGGAAGCGAGACGGCTGACATGCGGTGACGATGTGCATTTCGTACTTTTCAGAAGCAAGTTGGATATGCCTGCCGGTCACCGTCAGGCTGGCAACAGCCGCCACTTGGTCGAGCGGTTCCAGGCTTTCAATCAGCAGTTCAACTGGGCAGAACGGAGAAACATGAATTTGCAGTCATCGCGAAACATTTTCATGCAGCGAGATGGTTACCGAAGGGAGATCTCAATGATTGGGAATAGGGACCTAGAGTCTTGCGAAGCCTAGGCCGTTGAGTGTGACGCCTTCAACGAAACCTGTTCCGAGCGGAAAGCCAATTTTGCACGAATCCATTGTTGGCGGCCTTCCTTAAATTAGATGCCTCCGAACCATATGCCTCGCGGGATTGTCCGAGTGTGAGCGCCGAAATTAGATGCCAGTGCTGGGTTCCTGCGCCGGCTGTTTATGTGGCTGCGAAGTCTCCGATTCAACGCTCTCGCGCGGAGTGCGACTGCTCTGCTACGAGACCATCTTTCGGTGTTTCTGGGAGTGTGCGATGAAAGGCCTCAGGACATCTTCCTTCCGCGTTGCTGTTGCCATGCTGTTGTGCGGTCAAGCCCGTCGTTCCGCCCGGTAATTGGGACAGCGGAGCCTTGTCAAGCATGGCGCCGAAGGCGTAGAAAGGACCTGCGAGGCACAGCAGAGCAGCCTCCTCGGGGCTCGGAGGACTCCCGTCTAGTGCGTAAGGATGCGTTGCTCAACGAAACTTGCGACCTGCTACGATCTGCGACATGCCATGGGACGAAAAGCATCGCCAGGGACTGCTCTTCCACTTTGCGAAGGGCGGCCACACAAACGCACTGCTCCAAGTGCAAATGCTTCCGTGTGGTTTCTTTGGCCATGTATGCGATGCTCGGCTCAAGATCGACGCATAGTAGCCCAAGCAATCAGAAACTGAACATCACTGATGTTCCCTGCATGGATGCTCCGGGACGAGCTGATGGTCGACTGCCACACGAGGACAGCACTGGCTCAGCGATGAGCCACGCACCCGTGCTTAGCCACGCAATCTCTCGCAGAGAAGGACTTGGAGCAGACGGCATGGCAACCTTTCGAGCCCATGTCTTAGCAGCTTCCTGTGTGGGAGTCGGAGACAAAGTCACAGTCCCAGGTCTGAGTCTGAGGGCGCCTGCCAAGATGTTCGCCACAGTCGATTCTGGGTACGCCTTCGGATTCAGCTGTGCGAAGTCGGGTGGCTCATGTTGCCAGATGCAATCAGATTCATCGGCTGCACAGCTTGCCGCTTGCCCACCTCTTGCAGCCAGGCCGGGGCCGCCACATGTGCTCGCTGGACTTTGTCGGGTGCTGGCAGCTCAGGGGAGCTGGCAATTCGCGAGATGCGTAACAGCACCTGGGCACTGAGAAAAGACGGGGTGTTAAGATTCAAGGCTTTGATGGCTGTCGCCGTGGCTTTCTGCATCCAGTCATCCCTGTGGTGGGACCGGGGCCGAGCCGCCCTGCGAGACAAAACACTCAGTATGGCATGTCGCACTGCCTTCCAGCCAAGATTGGTATACTTGCCATCTGCGTCATTCTCTGCCTTGGAGGACTGCGGGCATACTGGAGGTCATAGATGATCATAGCATGATGATGGACTTGTAAGGCTGGGGTTTCGCAAGATTCTTCTGGCGTGCCTCTTCGTCATTCGTTTCTTGGTCAGCTCCTCAGCACATGTGTTGCGGTGTCGTCTTCAGTGTCGTCTCTGCCCCACGAAGCTGGAGCTGTCAGGACCAGTCGAACACAAGGGACGGGCACAGACGAGCCTGCGTCGGAGGCAGACACTTCTTTGCCGATCCATGGGCTGCGATGTCGGACCTGGTACTCCGAGCTTTGGAGGCTTTGAACCCTGGCGCTGGTACCATGCAGGGCTCAGTGCTGACTGATGCTCGGCAGGGAGAATCGTCGCATCGGGTTCCGATTGAATCCCTCTCTGTGGCTGGCCCACTCACGTCTCTTAAGTGTCTCAACGTGTTGCCTCTTGTCCGCTTGTTTGCTGCTTGATGTTTCTGGATGTCACGTTTGCAACTGGCCCAACTCCTGTGCTGTGTGCCATATCCCTCGGCTGCGAGTGGGCTGAGGAACGAATTCAGCAACTTAACTCAAGGACCCGAAGAGCTTCCGAGCGTTCTTTCCGTAGTTTGGGTGCAGCTGGAGGACGAGGATTTGCACCAGAGAGGAGTGGGAGGAGGCCGTTGCTCCAGCCTTGCAGTCTTGCAGGCATTGCCGTACCACACGTGCCGTTCAGGCGTACCTGCCCGAACTCTCGATGCAAGAGCCGGGAGTTGTGTCTCACGGTTGACTGTTTTCGGCACGCCTGGAAGCTCGAGCCACATTCAAGGACATCCTCGGGGCAAACTGGTCAAATCGAGCATCCATGGAGTGTAGCATTTGTCCGGAGCTTGTGCGAGTGTTGAAGCACACGAGTCTTGCCGTGGAGTGGAGTGGTGAGGCTTGGGCCAAATCGCCCCGACTGCACGGATTCGGGGACTTGGCTGTGGACATATGTCCGAGCCCACATGATAGGGCAGAAGCACATGCTGAGAAAGCATGAGCATTTTCCTTCACATGCATTAGCCGTAGCCCTGGCCGTTCGCTCAGGTTCCACCTCCAATGCTTGGCCGACTGGTTTCTGCGGGACATAGTGGTAGATGTTTGCATGCGGCTCCCAACGAAGCATTCGTTCGTTGGGCTGGCTCTGCAGGACTCCACTCTGGAGTTGCGCTGCCCTCTTTGCCGTATGAGGCTGGCTGAGCAGCCATGCTGAAGCCTAAGACTTCGTTTGCCATGTCCGAAGTCGCATACGAACATGGCACACTCAGGTATTCGACTCGAGGGTTTGCGTGGTTCTGACCAGTCGCTCCTCGGATCTTCACCGTGGACGAGCCCTGTGGAGGTGATTTGCACATGTCATCACCAGTTTGTGCATGGCACGTTGCCCGAAACTTGTGAAATTCATGCGTGGCTCCGATGTTTGTTGCATGTGGCCCAGCTTCCTCAAGCAATTAGCCACGGAATGCAAGCAGCAGTTCGCGCCGCATCCAAACAAGTTTGACCAAGACATTGATCCCACAGCAGCTCTGATGTTCTCAGTTTCGGCTCGCAATATCCATTCGTGTGGTTCTTTGCACAAATGTGTGCCTTGGCAGACGCTTCCTTGGAATGGCAGTTGCTTCGGAGCCGTCGGAGCCAGTCAGTCCCATCGCTGTGGCCAGCAGCAGTGTTACCGTGCCCTTACTGCAAATGCCATGTCCTCACGATAGGAGGCTTGCTTGTAACTTCTCTCGGGTTTCACTTCTCGAGAGGGGCCCTGTTGGGTCTCACCTGTGACTTCTCTAGCAGGCGAATTTGCAATACGTTTCAGCAAATACGCTTGAGATCATGTGTGATGGGCTTGGGATCAGTTCAAGGGGACAATAGATGTAGGCTATGAAGACGACGTCAGGGTTAGGGCTTGGTCCTTGGGTTTTTGGGATTAGGCTTAATGTGGAGGTCGGTTTAGGAATATCGGCCCCTTTAATGCGTTTTCTCCGGGGCTAATTCCGAACCGGTACCAAAAATTTGGGCGGTCTAATTAATGCGTTTTTTTGCCGGGGGGATTTTTTGGGGGTGTGTGTGCTGTCTGCTGATGGTCAATCTTAAGGCAGCCGCGACCTGAAGCCCCCACCCAAACCCTAAAACCCTGGCCCTGAAGCCCGAAAATCTCTTGCAGAATTGTTTCGCTTATTGGGGCGTCAGGTATCATGTCACGCAAGGTCATCGGCAACAAAGGCAAAGGTAAAGGCAACCCAGCAGCAGAAGGAGTACTGACTACGGGCGATTTCTTGAAGGCGGTAGGTCTCACACCAGAGGGCAAGGGATCCTATGTGAAGGTTTCAACGTTGACACTCAAAACCAAAGTCCCATTTATCTTCGATGTGAGGGCCATCACAAATGACGAGTTCGGAAAGAAATACGACGAGCACCTCGACAGGATTGCAAGACGCATCCTGAAACCTGACTTTGTCTTGTAGGGACACTGCCTTCCAGCACGAGCGGGGAAAAACATTGACACTGTTACGAGCGTACCTTCAACAACCGAGCAGCAAAAAGATCTTAACACTGCGATTCCAAAATCACATCTTCACCGAAAGCTTCGTCACCGAATGTCTCGTCACCGAATGAGTGCAGGTGCAGGCTCTCAGCGGCCGGCATTTGCACACCACAACATACATAGGGATGATATGTATAGAATAAACCCTCCATTCAGCGCTTTGCCTTACTCTACCCCCAACCGACTGGTACGGCGGGAGACGCGCCCACTTTCCAAAGGACGGTGCGCGAACGAAACGAGTGAACCCAAGTCTCACCCAAAACGCATACACAGAAGAGGTAAAAGGTCCATAACGCAGCAGTGTATCCATAAATCTAATAGACGACAGGCCCGAACCTTTCATAGAAGAGAATTCAGAAGAGTGAGACAGTGCTGGAAGGCTTTGGCCAAGCATCCAGCTACCCTCACCTTGGCTCAAGAAAGAATCCTAGCAACTATCAATAATTCTGAGAACCTGACTTCCAAAACAGAGGCGGGAGACACGCACCAAATGCATGAGAATGAATGCAATATTCACGTGCCGCCGAAACATCAACTTAGCACACACAATCAAAATTTGAGAATCGCAACTTTAAACATACGAGGAATGAACTACATTACAGCAAGGCAACAAATTATCTATGTTATGAAAAAACATCATATCGATGTTCTTGCCCTGCTGGAAACCCACGTAAACTACACAGGAAAAGAAATACACGACAACTACATCTTTTACTTCTCAAGCATCGTAGACGACGACATACGAAAACGTACCGATAAAGAGCTGGAAATATATAATGATAAGTGCAAAAAAGAAAAGATACCACAGGACGAAGCAAAGCGAGAACGTATGAGAATCAAACAACGGGCGGCAGAGAAGCTTGGATGTGCGTTTGTGTACAAAGCGAAGCTAAACCTTGAAATCAACGTTCAAGCGATTGACAACAAAAATATGTCAATGACGATTGATACGAAACCTATCCCAATAAATATTGCTGCAACCCACGCCCCCCATGCCAATCACACGATAAGGATAAAAAACAGCCATTATGCGGGCTTAGAACAGCAGATGGACAAATGGAAACCACATGAGGTGAATTTCCTTCTCGGAGATTTCAATGCCAGGTTACTCGAACAACTGCCACAGGAATGTACAATCATTGGTAAACACATTTATCGTACCCCCACTTCTACCATACAGGACCTAAGCGAACAGCAACGACAAAATAGACAACTGTTCACGGAGTTTTGTTTATCGCGTAAAATGATTCCTATGAATACTTGGTTTGACAAGCCCTCTCCGTTCCTTGCTACATATAGGAATTTGAGTACAACACAGTTTAACCGAACGGAGATTGATATGAACACGCATGCCCAAATGGATTACATACTTATCAACGACAGATGGAAAAATGCGATTTCCAATATCACAACCATTCAAGAAACGATCTTGGATGCGGATCATGCCCTTCTGATTGCCGATGTGCACTTGAAATTGGCCCAGAAAAAGAGAGACAAACGACAACCTTTCCCGAAAAGCTACAGGACTCCTACCCAGACCCAAAAACAGGCTTACAATCTTTTCGTCGAGCAGAAAATAGAAGAACAACGGCAGCTGGACAATTGGAATTGCAAAAAAGCTTTTGACACTCTTGCTGATATACTCATCGAATCGGCGGATAAATACTTCACACGTATACCTGCTGAACAGAAAAAACCCTATCTTTCTGAAACAACCTGGAATTTAATCGAGGCCAAACAGAAAGCGATCGAAGAAAATGATCTCATAAAGGCCCGAGACTTAACCAAGAACATTCGCTTGCAAGGGAAAGAGGACAAAGAACGGATGCTACTACAGGAACTTGAAGAAATCACAAAGGAAGGATACAAATGGGATGGCCTAAAGAAAGCAAGAAAGACCTTCCAACCCAAACGATACAAATTCAAAAACAAGCATGGTGAGTTCATCAAAGAAAAGGATTTTCCATCAACGGCAGCGGAATATTTTGCCGAGGTACAGTGGGCCCAACCGGAAGAGAATGATCTAGATCCAGGAAAAGAGGCAACTCCACTTATAGAAGGTACAAGCAATATGAATGACGAACAGTTTACTCTACCGGAACTTGACAAGACAATCGATGCACAAAAAAACAACAAAACTCCAGGACCAGATGGATGCCGAGCAGAGCTAGTGAAATGGCTTTCCGTTACAAATCGAAATTCTTTGCTATCGCTATACAACGACATGATTCAAAGCCACGAGTTCCCGGAGTCTTTTAAAAAGGCCAATTTAGTAGCTATCTACAAGAAAGGAGATGCCACGCAAATGCAAAACTACAGACCAATTGCATTATTGCAAGTGTTCTATAAAATACTAGCAGGTATGATAAGAACGCGATTACTACATGCATACGACCCATGGATTCAAAAAACACAGTACGGTTTTCGCCCCAAGAAGTCAACGACACAAGCTATTTTCATAGCAAGAAGATTATTGAACCTAGCCGAAAGACAACATTCAAACCTGTCACTTATTCTATTAGATTGGGAGAAAGCTTTCGACAAAGTGAACCAAACAAAGCTTTTACAGGTTCTACGCAGATTAAAAGTACCCCCTAATATGTTTCAGCTGATTGCTGACATGTACCAAGATCCACAGTTCAGGATAAAAATGGACAGCCAATGTTCAGAATACAAATCGCAGGAGTCTGGAATTCGTCAAGGGTGCCCCCTCTCACCATTTCTATTTACGTTACTAATGTCTGCAATGTTCAAGGATATTAAAGCCAAGCTAAACACTCCAAAGCAGAGAGAGCCCCTACCTGGAATAGAATTCGCAGAAATTTTATACGCAGACGACACGCTACTTTTTGGAACCCATACTCATACAATAAACAAGCTGCTACACGCAATTCAAGTTGAATCCAGGTACTATAACATGAGCTTGAATTACGACAAATGCATTAACCTTACCCTGAATCAAGGAACATCCAGTGTTAAATATATGAATGGGTCACTTGTTCCGCGCAAACATGAAGCCACATACTTAGGCTCAATACTGACAGACACGGTGGATAATCACCGATGCCACTGTCACATGCAATAGACTAAAACTTTTTTGGAACAAGGCTCAAAACACAGTGAAATGGAAGCTAAGGGTGTTCGATTCAATTTTGAAAAGCAAGGTACTCTATGGGCTTGAATGCATACAGCTGACACAACCTGACTTA